TGTAACCTTTTGGATATTCTCTTTAATAAAAGACAGCTACACTCCTTTCCCATTCTTTGATATATTTGTCTCTTACTCTGCTTATGTCATACGTCACTTGTCTGGGAAATGATGAATTTTCGTTTCAATTCGTCTAAAATTTTTGCCATTTATTGTTGATCAATTACTTCTATATATATCAAACTCTTCCTCAGTCTCTCAAATCTTTCTTATCTTGTTTTTGTCACTATTTCTCTTAAACTTTTTATGGAAATGAAGAAGTCTCAGAAGTAATCACTGAGAAAATGCCTAACTTTCCTAGGCTCAGAGACTCGGGTTTGAACATAACTAGTAGCATGCAGATTCAAGGATGGTCTAGTTACTATGCAATCTTGCATGGACCTATTTATCATATCCTTGTGAAGGAGTTTTGGAAATATGCAAGGGTTAACGAAGATGACAACTCTATCTGGTCTTCTGTTTATGGAGTTCCTTTCATCATAACACCTACCTCCATTGCTGAAGCCATAAACATTGTCAAATCTGAAGTCACCGTTGAAGATTTCCATCTGGACTACTCCTTTGTTGAGAAACTCATTGTCATTCATGATTATTCTCTTCCCATATATGAATCTTACAATTCTGAAAGGCTCATTCCCACTGCTAAAATGTGGTTTCAACTCTTGCTAACCAACTTTCGTCCTCGAGGAGTGGCCAAAGATGTTATGTCTCATGATGACAGACTCTTTATCTACTTTCTGATGTACAACATCCGAGTCAACCTGCCTCAAACTATCTTCAATCATCTGAAGTATTCTGTTGAAGTTTCCAAAATTCAACATAAGTCCTTCATTCCTTATAGAAGAATTATGTCTGAGCTATTCTTCAAGCCTGAAATCATTGGATTAGCCAAAAGGCTTGGACCATACAATGCTGCGATTGAAGAAAGATGTGAAAGAGTTGATAAGGTGCAGGATTTTTGATGCTTGTTGGGCGGGTGTTCTTGTTGGTGTATCAGAATTTGTTCTCTCAGTTTATGTGTTTTATTAACCATCTTGTTTGTGTGTCTTGTCTGTATTTTGTTTGATCATGTCCTTGTAACTCAGTTGAACTTCGCTAATCTTAAATGAACTTCTTTTCGGTTGGATATGATTGATGTGGTTTATGATACACTAAGTCTTAGAATCTTTAGACCCATATATTATCTTTTTGTTGCATCTGATTGCATGTTATTGCATATTTTCTTTTTGATTGCTGACAAAAAGGGGGAGAAAGTATTGATTTTGATATACCTACTTTCTCTTGAATCAAACCCATACATTTCAAATATTTGCACTAACACTTGTTTAAAAGGATATTATGTTAGTTGTTTTCTTTCAGGAAAAACTTACTATATATCAGAAACACCTGAAAAATCAGAACATAACGTGTGAAGCCCAAACTCTGAAGATATGTTAGCTTCTTAAAGTTCTGAATCATCTTGAGTGAAAACTTCAAAGATTATTCAAGTTTATCCATCTGATTAGAAGTAAAACTCATCAGAAGTTGATATGCGTTGTTGTGTGTTAAATCCTTGTTAAAATGCTTAACAACAGTAAGGACAAGTTCAAGAAACTTCTAAAAGATAAACTAGTTCTTTTGAACAGAAGGTTCATCTAGGTGGAGATTGGAGCAAGTGAACCTGAGAGCTCACAATTTGATACCACATGCATTGAGTCCTGAGTTGAGTCTCCTTGCATTTGTGTTCATGTTGCATTATGTTATGTGGGTTGTTGGAGTGTGTGTTGTGAAATTGGTGATTGTGCATATGTTGTTGGCGTGCTTACATATTATTATGCATTTATTTATATGATTGTGATTTTTCACTCATTCTGTTTAAATGTTTCCTTTACATGGGCATCACGCAGATAATCTGCAGTAGAGACTTGGATTGTGAGTGGAAAAGGTTGCTCTTCTTTTTGCTTTGTTGAGTCGGCGTCTGCTCTAATATGTAATACTGGGGTTGAACGTTTGTGTCTTCATGTTATATTTTTAAAATTTCTTAAATAACTTTATATTATGATTTTTTTTAATGTTAAACTATGTTACTGATTTCTGTTGCTAAACCAATTTTTGGAGTTTAGATTATTATTACTATTATTATGTTAGTGAAATGTTATATGTGTTACATATTTTATTGTATGATCTATTTGGTGTTAGTAGCATCCTAATTGTTGTTGGCTTAAAATTACTCTGATTTTTATTATAAATTGCGCAGGGAGAATTAGGTTGTTACACGTTTCCCAAAAGGATGAAACCCAAATCAGATGGAAGAGAGAGTCAAAGGGATTGACTCCATCTCAACCATCTGATGCACATGCAAGATGTTTAGGTGGCTAGGATGTTGGCACATGGAAAGGCTATGGTAGGGTTTTGTACAAAACCACAGTCAACGCGTCAGACGTCAATTGATCTAATAGCCAGGAAAGTAACATGAGTCAACAGACAAATGAGATTTTGGTTAAAAACGATCCTAAATAAAACCCTAGGTCTAAAAAATCATCAATTAGCTACAAATGACTATGATTCAAGGCAAACAAAGATGCAATTTACAACAATCATAGACGAAAATTAAAGAAAACACAAAAAATAGAGAAGAAGACCTCGCTGAAGCTTTGAAACTTCGGCGAGGTTCCAGCCAACCTCAAGTAAGCTTCTATGAGTCCTTCTCTCTGTCTTTCACTTCTGTTGTTGTGTTTTCCTTTCCTTTACTCCTTCTTCTGTGTATTCCGACGAGGGTAAGGCTTATCTCCAGTGAGTGGCTTTGAGAGGTAGGGATAGCTCAACTCTCTTAAAATTTGATGAGAATTTTAAGGAGCTTCTTGTTGAGAGCTTATAGTGAGGCTGAGTTTTAGATTTTGTAGGGGTTCGAATGAGAACTTTTGTGTTCGTTTAAGTGAGGCAGAGGGTTTTCTTTATAGTGGGTTGAGTGGGATTTTGGTGAGAAAAGGAGCAGGAAAGTAGTTTGTTAGAAGAATTTTAGGGGGAATTGGGAATAGTGATCCACATGATATGTGCAAGGATGGTTGAGATGAATTTGATAGTGGATTTAGTTGAGGAAAAACTTGTGAGTGAGTTTGTGATGTGGTGATTTTGAGTGAAAAACGTGAGTAAATTTTGATGATGGATGATGTTGAATTGGATGTGGTGATTTTGAGTGAAAAACGTGAGTAAATTTTGATGATGGATGATGTTGAATTGGATGTGGTTGAGGATATATGTTGAATGTGAATGGAATACAAAAGACGTGTTTTTTGCTTCCTGATTCAGTTCATTTTAATCTTTATTCTATTCAAGTTTTTGATGTATGGTGATGAACGACTATGAATGTATGTTGTGATACGTGAATATGTTGAGCACACGTTTGCCTTGCCTTTCCGATTTGTTTTATTTGATTTGTTGTTAAACTCAATTCAAATATGTGGAATGTTTGATGCTATGAGGATGATAATGATGTTAATTGACATGAAACAACTTGTGTTCTCTTTTCTTCTTTTTAGATCTTCAATTGATTTTGTTTTATAGATACGGAATATGTGAGCTATGGATATGGCATGACATTAGGTGGACATGAGAATGATGAATGTTAAGGTGCAAACAAAATGAGGGCATGCGATGATGAGGCATGCGATGATGATAATGAGTGTAGCTGCAAGGAAATCGTGTCTCCACACAAGCTAACTCTATTTTCTTTATTTTTTAATTCTTTTTTATGTAATATAAAAATGTAAAATGCACTTTTTTTTGTTAAATTATGGAAATTTGTCCAAAACAATTTCTTTCAAATTGAATTATTTTATTTAGAACAAAATCCTTTTTATTATCTATCTATGGTATATGCCCAAAAGACATAGTAAATGCAAATGGCTCTAAAAATGCACAAAACATGAATGAATGAAAGTGATATAAGAATTCAAGTGAAGTCATGAACTAAACATACGAACTATGATCACATGCAAATCTTATTAGAAAGAAGAAATACTAACCCTAAAGATCTCCCAATTTCCACTTAGAGGATAATGACAAGTAATGTCAAATCATAATCATACCTTTAAAACAAATGATCTATTATGGATGAAGATGTAGGAAGAATGTGAATGTGAATGTGAATGTAAATGGAATAATTTAGAAATTATTAAATGCAATTTAATAAGAAACCTTGATGAGATTGTCCCTCACTTCCAAACATGATCTATATAATGAAAAAAAAAAAAAAAAATTGTATATAACATATTTGAAAACACTCGAGGCCAAAACCGATTTTCAAATTGGATAAGTCGAAAAAGTGGAACAAATATTAGTGGTGAAAATAAAATAAAATAAAATAAAATATCATATAATTATTTATTTAAAAATGTTATACTTTTATTTTTGATGAAGTTTTTCTTTAAGTTTTTCCCCGTTTCGTTTAATGAACTTCTGATTCGGTTCTGCATACTGTTACTATCACATCATCAAGCAAACTGTCACTTATGATTTAGTACTCCAAGTTAATAGTTTAAATAAAAAAAATTTACTTTAAATCTTGGCTTTGTAACCATAATCGGATGACCAGATATGTTCTAAATGCAATCCTAATGCAGGATTGCATGTAATTTTGAATGTATGCAATCTGAATGATGAAGCCACATCAAATGCTTTAAAACATGAATTCCGATATTATATTTTAAAAAATTAATCAAATAATTAAATAACTGATTTCAAGTATTCCTTTGTCAAAAAGAAGAAAAAGTAGTAGTATATTGTTACACCGCGAACAAACAAGGCCCTACGATATTTTGCCTCTTTTTCGAGGTCCTTCTTTTCATGAAAGCCTACATGTACTAACTTTTTTCTTCTTTTATTTACATTACAATATTCGTTAGTGCCTCAATGCCTTTATTCTCTGCTTTTTAATCGTTCCCATCAGTTTCAAAGTACCCTTTCGCCCTCATTCATCTTCTCTCTAACAAACTCTGTTTTCTCTTTCAACTTTAACTCAAATGGCCTCATCAGAAACACAACAACATCCAAACTACAAGGTAAAACTCTCTTCCATCTCTTACTTTCATTTCATTTCTTTACGAACTTATTACTTAAGCTTTCTCTTTACAGACAATTGTCTTGAAGGTCTCCATTCACTGCCAAGGCTGCAAGAAAAAAGTCATCAAAATTCTTCAAGGCATATATGGTAATTAACTTTCTTCTTCTTCGTCATTTTTTTATTTAATTTTATGTTTATTAAACAGTCCTTTTGTAATCTAGGTGTTACTAGCGTAAACATTGATTTGAAGCAACAAAAAGTTGTAGTAACGGGGAATGTAAACAGCGATATTTTAATCATGAAATTGACCAAGACAGGGAAGCATGCTGAGTTATGGCCTGAATTAGAACCAGAAACAGAACCTGAAATAAAACAAACCGATCTTAAAAAGAAGAAGCAGAGAAAACCAGAGATGAAAGAGAAACAGAGCGATCCAGAAACTGAAGACAGTGAAGAAATAGAAATCAAACAAAGCAGTGAAAACAACAATGAAACAGGTAAAGTTAAAGTAAAAGTTGACGACTCATCCAAAAGCGTTGAAGTTAATGGAAGCATCGCTAAAAAAGGTAATGGAGGCGGCGAGATTAACGGCAGCACCGCTAAAAAAGGAAACGGAAGCGGCGAGGTTAACGTTAACGGTAACGGTAATAAATCCAACGAAGGAAACGCAACCGGTAAATCCGGTGTAGTACACGTTCAAGAACTGAAGCCAGAAGTGAGGAAGCAAACAGTTGTGTTACCGGCTGGACCGGTTCCCGAGAAAAAAGTTAGCGTCGCAGTGCAATTTCCTTGCGATAATAATGAAGAAGCATCAACGAACGAGAAAACCGGTTTCACCGGTGGCGATAGCAGCGGAGTGAAAAAGAAGAAAAAGAAAGGAAAAGGTAAAGCTGATAACAACAACGCTAATGAGAGTGTTGCTGAACACTTTGTTGATGCTTCGGGTACCGGTGGTTCAGGTAACCGGTCACAAGGTCAAGTTCATGGTCAAAGTAATTTTCATGATCAAGTACACCGAGGTTCAGTTCCAGTTTCAAATACACCCAATGAGGTTCCGCCACGTCATTTTATCAACCAACAATTTTACCCACCTCAGTACTATGCACCACCGGTTTCTGCTGCTGCACCGGTTTATACCGTGAGCCATCACACAGCGTATCCGAGCAATAGTAGTTACGGTGCGGCGTATTATGCGCCTCCACAACCGTATCAATACGCGCATGTGATGAATTCGGGAAACGAGATGGATCAACCTAGGCCGTACACGTATGAATCATCGGAAACGTACAGTTCATCACAACCGTCTGATTCGTTTGTTTATTTTAGTGATGAAAATCCTAATGCGTGTAGTGTGATGTGATTTGTAATCATTCTGTTGGAACATACAACTTGTATGGGGCATGGGAGAATTTTGTAATAGTGTAGATAAGAATCAGAGGAAAAGCTTCAAGAGAAAGAAAAGAAAAATATTAGTCTGTTTGGTTTGAATGGATGGAAAGATGGGCAGAATAATAGAATTCTGGGTGTTTACGGCTTTTGATCAGTGGTTGTCCTGTACTCTCTTGATATGTATCATACTAGGACAATATAGTAAAATTTTAAAATTATTGGCCTTGCTTCCTCCTTACTTTCACTTTACTATTGTGGAATATTTTTTCTTCTGGGTTTTCCATGTGGGATTTACACATGAGATTCTTATTATTGAAGTTTATCTTATATTTTTTATTTTTATTTTTATTTTTTATGTTTCTCTCATATTAAATGCTAGAAGATTATACATTAAACTCTCATGTGTAAATTACTCGTGAGAGCGTCCATTCCTCCAATATGTGTGTTTTTACATGGCATTGCCAGGTTTTTCTTTAAATGTTTAGAGTTTTAAGTATTTAAACTGTTTTGAAAAAAAATAAAATAAATTATTAAATATTTTTTCTTTAGATTTTGGAAATTAAACAGACAATCATAAATCTAATCTCTTGGAAATATAATAACCACAATCAAATTAAATATTATATATTAAACTTTTAATGATGAAGACTTCTCTTTAAATTAAACAATAAAAATCATGAGACATAATACACTAAAACTTTTATTATATAAAATATTGAATAAACAAAAGTCTTTCGAATAGCACTATCTAAACAACAACAATCATCATCAAAGGTGAGAACTAAATAACAAAACAACCTTAAGTGGAGTAAAGGCTACTCAAAAAACATATCAAGAAGGAATAGAACAAAAATATTGAATTTGTATCAATAAGTTGTTGTGTTTTCCATTTAGGGAATTAAATCTTCACTTAACCATCAAAATTAATCTATAGGTTATTCACATTAGAATGAGTGCAAATTTATAGAGCAATACCTTTCACTACGAGAAGTTATTTCTTTGCAAGATGTTGAGAGGCTAGCAGCAGTGATCAGAAGGGCTGCGGTTTTGGACGTGTTAAGTGGATTTAAAGTTAACTAGATTGAGACTCTCGAGGTGCGGGGATGAGATGAGTTTTTAAATATTATTATAAAATGTGAACTTTAATTTTGTTTAATATAAAATTAAAATTTTAATTGTGATGATAAGAAGAATAAGATAAAATAAAAATAGAGAAAGTAAAAATTTAAGTGATAAGAAGTATGTTTGATTCATAGAAATATAAACAAGATATAATAATTTAATTTTAAAATTTAAATTATACATATAAAATTATAAATGATAGCTGAAAATATATAATTTAATTTTATAATATGTATATGCAAGTATAATGAAAAATAATATTTTAAAAATAATTTGATATTTTTGTATGTCTATTTGAAAGTATAAGTTAAGTTTGAAAATATTGTTCGATAATCATTTTTAGTATTATAATGAGATTTAATATTTGAATTTAATTTTGTATCATGTAATCGTAGTTATAATTCGTAAATATATTTATAATAAAAATATTGTTTTAGACTAAGTCGAGATCTGCCCCACAGTCGGTCAGGGTCAACCCAATATTACGTTGGGGAGGCCGAATAAGGTCTGATCCTCCCCATGTCGGGCACGCTTAACTTTGTAGTCGAGCAGACTACTACCTAGTACGGGGAGAGCTTATGCGTCTTCCCCACGGTCTCCACGTGCCTCCCACGCACGGACACGTCATCAGACAACTACCCACTTCCGAAAGAACTGGTCAGTCCACCTTCCGAAGATCACGGGGCAGTTGATCCAGGGAGAAAACCACGTACTGGTTTTCCCTACGCCACGTAAGCCCTAACAGTTACTTGTGTTAGGCCTGACAATTTAGCCCGATGCAATGTAACTGTTGGCCCTGCGCTGAGGGCATATTATAAATACCCTCTTTCACTAGAGGGTCAGATTTTCTATTATCAACAATTATTCTCTTTGTACTTCCTCTTTTTAACTTCGTTACTCACTTAGACATCGGAGTACCTTGCAGGTACACCCTTCCCCATCTTCAACACCGGTGAACGCATGAACTCATGACGCGTGGCAGGCTGCTGATTGCTTTCTGATCTGACAAGATAAGTGGCGTCGTCTGTGGGAAGCCTTTGCTCCCCCGTTCTTTCTCCTATAGAAGCATAAAAGCTCAAGAACCAAATGAACAATCAACTTCTGTTTGATCATGGCCAGCCCACGCAATGACAACGCTCCGGGAACCGCATTTGTTCCATTCACCAACATTGACAGCCATGATCCCAATGTGATGGTTAACGTCGAAGAGGCCGACTCCAGGGACGGGCACACCGCTTCTCCCTCCTTGAAAGATGCGACCTTCAACGCCTCCTAACGCTTTGATAGCCCGACTGTCTACCAGCCAATCCTGGTGCCACCCAACACTGACCCTACCATGGTGGCTCTGTTCGCGGAGATCAATCAGACCGACCTGATGATCTTCCAACAGAATGAGCAGATAGGGATGCCTGAGAAGAAGCGACAATCACACTCTCTCCCGTGGAGACATTGTCGCCCCGTTTCCAGCAGCCCCTCTCCTCCCCTATGGAGGACGCGACACGAAGAATCTCGGAACCCTTATCCCCGACCGACTAGACGTCGCCCTCGCTTGGAGCGGACTCATCTAATGGATTCCCAAAAGTGCGACTGATCACCTCCCCGGAAGGAGCGACACTCCCCCAGTCAGAAGAGGAACAAAGCTGAAGGAGGCGTCGAGAAGCCAAAGAGCCGGCCAAGGAGTCCTCCCCGAAGAAACAGAAACAATCAGGGTGACCTTTCCCCTTCTCGGTCACCTGTCAGGAGCAACGAGGACGACCGGCGCTCACCACTGTCCAGGGCCATCAGGGAGACCCCATTGCCCATCGGGATGGAAAAGCCTCCGCCCTTGGTGACTTATGATGGTACGGCCGACCTGAACGACCATATCGAAAGCATTGATACAATACTCGATTATCGAAACGTCAGTGGAACCATCAAGTGCATGTTTTTCCCCACTACCCTAAGGAAGGGTGCTATGACATGGTACAAGCGCCTCACACCTAAATCCATCACCTCCTGGGGTGAACTGAAAAGGCAGTTCTCTAGGCACTTCACAGCTTCTCGGCGCCACCCGAAGACGAAAGCATCCCTGGAAACCATCATCCAGGGGAAAGATGAACCTCTTCAGGATTACATAGAGAGGTTCAATTGAGAAGCTGTCCAGGTGTCCACCTCGGATGACATGAATAAGTTTCTGATCGAACGAGGACCGCGACCTTGCACCGACTTCGCCAAGACCGTCGGGATTGAAAGACCCTGCACCTTGAACGCTATTCTCCTCAAGGCCCAATCATGCGTCCAGTATGAGGAAATAGAGGCCGCCCACTACGTCCGCGACACGCGGAATCAAGAAGGCATCAGGGGCCCCAGGCACGAGGATATCGTTGCTCCTCGAAGAGGCGGGGAAATAAGAAGACAGGACTGGCCCCGAGAACAAAGGGGGCTAGCAGGCCGGTTTACTGAGTACACGCTACTCACAGCTCCCCGCAAGCGTATCCTGGCCGAGTGTATTAACTTGGAATTTCAGAGAGGTGGGGTCCGTTTTTCGAAACCGACACCCCCAAGCCCAACGTCGACAAATCTAAATACTTACAATTCCATCGGAGTCATGGACACATCACAAAAAATTGCATCCACCTCAAGGATACGATCGAGATCCTAATCAAGGAGGGGCACCTGAAACAGTACACCCGGAGAAGTGAGGCTCCTCGACAGGAGACCCGTGAAGCCAAAAGGGCTAATGAGGTATCACCCCCTCTGAAGAATCCGAACTGCAAGTCGCTCTATGTATCTCCCGTCCAAAAGACTTCTTCCTTCCAGGAAATCCTGACACACTGCTGTCCGCCCACAGTCCTTGGGAGGATTTTCCCGCCGCATTGATCATATCCGACGGGGGGCCTAGCAAGGTCTCAGTCGGGTCGGTCAAGAGGAAATTCGAGGAGCTGAGCGACAAGAGCTTGAAGCAGATCGCCACCCTCGACAAGTTCAAAGGTCAATCGAACCCGATTACCTTCTACCTCGAGGAATTTCCCGGGGGTGCAACCAACTCCAGCATTCCCCTTTTAATCAGGGCTCAGATGGTGAACTTTGACGTGTGCTGATTCCTGGTCGACCAATGGAGTTTGGTGGACATAATATACGCCTATCTGTTTACTACCCTCCAGCTCAACGAGAGCCACCTGACCCCGTATGTCGGCTCCGACCTACAGGGCTTCAACGACACCACCACAAAGCCTTGGGGATATGTGGAGTTGTTCGTCACCTTCAGAGCCGAAGAGACCACCAGGAAGGTAAATGTATGCTTCTTGGTGATTGAATGCCCTTCTTTATATCAATGCATCCTGGGAAGGTCGACCTTAGCTGAACTGACCGCAGTACCATCTACAATGCACCTGAAGATGAAGTACTACACGACCAGAGGTCGAGTCGTCACCTTCCACAGGGTCACCAAGGTGGCCAGGAGATGTTTCGAGGCAGCAATCAAGGGCCTCAACTCAATCAACATAACCCCCAAGACGACCGACAGATCAACCCGGACTGCGGAGCAAAAGCCACTACCCCGCGTCAACTCTGTCGTTCTCGACAGCCGGTTCCCTAGCAAGCAGAAGCAGAGTGCAAAGTCTGAAGGTGCACCACCAGTAGACAACGGGCAGCCGTCCCACCCAACGCGCCCCATTCCAGATGGAGACTTTGAGCTCATCACGCTCGAAGATGACCCAGGAAGAAGCGTGAAGATTGACACTTGACTCCCTGACCTAACGAGGAAGCAGCTAAAGGCCTGCCTTCGGGAGAACGCTGACCTGTTCGCATAGAGCGCTGCTGAGATGCCCGGCCTTGACCCCGACGTAGCATGCCACCACCTCACCATAG